AATCTTTGTACTTGAATTATAAAAATTAATTAAATATTTAGAGAAATATAAATATTTAAAGTTAACAAATTTTTCTTGGTATTTTTTTGAATTGCTAATATTGATTAAAATTAGTAAAAGTTTTTTAAATATTTAGTTTCTTTATATTAGTTTTATCTTAATTAGATTTAGTAAATTCTTTAATAAGTATTTAATACTTTTATTGATATTTCAGATATAATAAATAAAAATATCATATAATTAAAATCTGTATTCAGTTTGTGATTATATAATAATAAAACAATAAGAATATACAAATTATATATATATATTAGTAACTATTAAAGATTAATTTTATAATTTGAATTAGAATAAAAGTTAGTGAGTACATCTAAATATTTCTCACCTGATTTAATAATAACAAAAATAATCAATAGTATTATATATTTTTATTATAATAAAAATTAAAATTAAAAAATAATCTATGATTAAGATTAAAATTAAAATTAATATTAAAAATGATGATTTAGATTATATATAAAATTGTTTTTTTGATATTTTTTATTAATACTTTAAATCAGATTAGATATTTATTTCTTGTATTTTTTATATTTTTCACATTTTTTATTTTTTATATCAATTTGTTTTATTGAGTTAATCAAAAATTTATATATTTTTATTGACTGTTTTTTATTCTAATCAAATCAAATAAAAATATATAAATATATACAAGAGTTAATGTGAAAAACAAAATTATGCGTAATATTTTTTATTAAAGCTTAAAACTAGATTTGAATATTTATTTTCTGTATTTTTCATATTTTATATTTTTTTGTATTAAATTAATTTTGCTAAATTAATCAAAAATTTGTGCATTCTTATTATTTGTTATATAAATATGATTAAAAACAAAATACAAATTATAATTATACAAATATTTTGTAATATATTAAATAAAGTTTTTATTAATTAATTTATTTTTATTTATAATTAGCACTTTTAATTCAAAGAATCTAGCACTAATATTTTTATTAATTATTCAATATGATTATATAATTATAATTTGAATCAAATTGTATATTATGTAAAATTATTTTTCTAATTCTATTTTTTGAGAGAGTTTTTAAAATAAATTATTTTAATTAAATTCATTCTAATATAAAAATAAAAAATATTTATTAATAAAATTGAAACTTTTATATAAGATAAATTTTTAATTTTTATTATATTTTATTAATAAAATTATCTGCATGATTTTATAATTTTATTAGTTACTATATATTTTTTATAATTTTGTTAATAACTATATATATTTAAATTTTTATATTTAATTTAAAAATATTTTTTAATTATAAAGTAAATACAAAATTTTTTATTAATTAAAATATAATAAAATTTTATATTTATTTGCAATTAGAATATTTTTTTCTGAATTAATATAAAAAATCTGAATATATATAATAATAATTAAAAATAATATAATAACAAAAAAATTATTAATAAAATATAATAAATATATAAAAATACAAGTTTTTCTTTTAATATAAAATATTTTAATTTTAATAATATATTTTTTATTTTTATATTAAAATAAAAATAATATTATATATTTTAATATATATTATTTTTAGATTTTTTAAATTTAATTTTATATAATATTCTCTAATTATATATAAAATTAATAATTTTGATATATTTTAATTATAAAAAATTAATAATTTTATATAATTAAAAAATATTATAAAATTAAATTTTCAATTTAATATAAAAATATAAAATATTTATTTATTAATAAAATTAAAAATTTTTATATAAAAAATATAAATTGATTAGATTTTATTATATTATATTTTATTAATAATTTTTTTGTTATTATATTATTTTTTATTGTTATTATATTTATTAAATATAAATTATAATTTTTAGTTTAATAAAAATAAAATTTCTTAATTTATTATATTTTAATAAAATTAAAAATATTAATTTTACTAAAAAAATTACAAAATAATATAAAAAATTAATATAATATAAAATAATATAAATTAATATTTCTAAATACAATTTTAATTATAATTAGTTATTTAATTTATATTAAATAAAAAAATTATTTTAATAAAAATTAAATAATTAGTTGTAATTTAAAATATTATTAGTTTATATTCTATTATTTTATATTATATTAATAATAAATATTTAAAGAATTTATAATATTTATAACAAAATTTTATAAAAATAATAATATTTAGTTATTTTTAAAAAACTTTAATTTTTAATAAATATTATTTATATATAAAGTTATAATTAAATTTAATAAAATTAGAAATTATATAATATTATATATTAGTTTTAAATTTAATTTGAATTTTAAATTAAATTTGTATTTAAACAAAATTTATTTAAATTTATAAAAATACTGAATTAAAATATTATATAAAATTAGTTAATTAATTAATAGTCTATTTAATATATATAAACTTGCAAAAATAATATATTACTTTAAAAATTTATTATTAAATTTTTAATTTATAATTATAATTTATAATTATTATTAAAAAATAAATATTTAAATAAAATAAATCAAATTTTAAATTTTTTTAAATCTATAATATTTGTTAAAAGTTATATATTATGAAGTTTTATAAAAAATTCTAGTATTAATTCAAAGCTTAAAATTTTTATACTTATTTTAAAACTAATAATTTTTAAAAAAATTTATAATAAATTAATTTAATTATTTTATATATATAATATTGATATTTAAAAGTTTGTATTATAATAATTAATATATTAATTTAACTAAAAACTAATATGATAATAGTTTAAGTTTTATTAATTAAAAAATCACATGAATTTCTTAATTTTTCTAAAATAAAAGCTATAAACTTTTGAATTAATACCAGGAATATTAGAATTTAATTTTTGTAATATATAATTTTTGATAGTCACTATATATAATTTTCTGAATTTTCATCATTAATATTAACTATTTTATATCAATTTATATCTTTAATTATAATCTATAACTTTATTTAGAATTCCTTTAAATATTTACTTGAACTCAAACTGAATTTTTTGATCAGATTTGAGTTTGGTTCAAAGTTCAACCTGAACTCAAACCAGATTTTAGATCAGGTTCAAGCTTGAAATGAATCAGACTTTTTTCAGAATTCTAGTTCGATCATACTGCTCTTTTTTTGAGTAAAAAATATCATGCAATTAATTGCAAAGTGAATTTGATATTTTTTATTATTTTTAATCAATAACATATATTGTATTATTCCAAATTGGGGATATTACATTATGAAAAAATCATATGCAATATATATCTTGTATGGGAATGCGATAAGCGGAGTAGTCACGTATCCAATTGCAAAGATCAGGTGTTACATACGAATTTGACCAATCCAACTCAAATAATTTAAAATTTACTATATATAGCAACTATCTTTCAATCTCTAAATAAAAAAAATGTTTAGTGCGAAATTTTAGATACAGTTTGGTCTTTGAAGATAGCATCTTATCTAACAAAATTTCCAATGAATTACTTCGCTTTAACCTCCCTTCTATGGTAGAAAAGGGATGCTATTGACCTTTTTTGGTGAATCCCTAGCTCGTATTTTAAATAGGGATGCAGGCGTAACTAGTTATGATATAAACTGTAACTAGTTACGTCATATCTCGTACCTCTCTGAGGGTCATATGTCTGCACTGCTTATGCTTGTAATTGATGAGCGTATCCTTTATACCTTGGCTAACAGTATAAGCTAAGCATTTTTATTGGTCTTTCCACCTTGGTAGATTTCGAGCTATTTGCGATTTCTCGTTTTGACGCCAAAACATTGAGATTTTCACGTTTCTAATTGGTCAGTGCTTGGTGCCAGACGATTAGGAAACATCTAGGAAATCCAGAATTTCACTTAGAGGTTCTTGTCCAACGATAAAAAACAACTCAATTCAGTAATAAGGCATTTTGAATTCACTGAATTGTTACTCAGGATATACTGAATTATATGAAATTTAAATTCAACGATGAGTCAGGACTTGATTCAATTTAATGAAATCGCGAGTTAACAATTCTTGTTCCCAGATCACTAAATCACGCTCAATTTAGTGATGTCTATTAGTATTCTTTCGATTTAGCATTTTGACATTTGATTACCGATTCATCGGTCAATCAAGCCCTGACTATATCCAGTATGCATATCGGTCTGGTGATAACGATTCATTTAATATCGATATCGGTCTGGTGATAATTCATTTAATTCAGTATAGCGATAGTGATAGTGATAAGAATTATTGTGTAATGTAACATGCACTTTCTGATTTCTCATTGGCCAATAATACGTATAATCACATGAAAACAAAACGTCAAAATGTCATACAAACGTAGCTTCTGCATGCCAAGAAATTTATTTATGCACGACACACTCACACCTGGTTGCCCTTTTTTGTTTGATATTTTTTCTCTGAATGGATTACGTATCTTTATTTGTTACTTCTATCTAGTCTAACTCATTTTTCGGAGGTCGATTCGGAGAATAATGTTGGTGAATTCTTTTGAGAAATTATGTTTTTATCTTTGTAATCCTATAGATATATGCATAGTATGAAATTAACGTGAAACTGGTTTTTCTGATTGCTTTATTGGTACATGTAATAGTAATTGTTATAAATACAGAGAGCAGTATTATTTTGCAAATAAATCAAGATTTTTTGTCGTCTTATGCGTAGTATACAAGTGTACAATTTAACTGGTTGACGCTACTTGAATTCGGCGTAGAAGGTTTTTATTGGTAATTTTTTTTTACTAGTCGAACCGAACTATAAATGAGATAGCAGTATTTACGTATTCCGCAATTAATTAATATTCGCTACGAACAAAAAATCTATTTAATTTTCCAATGTGATTTATGTCATTAATCAAAAAAAAAAAAGTTAATACAGAAACACAAAACAACATCAGAAGTTTTTATTATTAATAAATAGTCACTTATACACAAATATATTCGATGTCGAGAGAAATGTCTCAACATAAAAAATCAATAACCAGAGAAAATTTACCACCACCTTTGTCAACTTTAAATTTAAACAGAGCCAAAGATGTCAGTAGTGATAATAAAAGTAACAACAACAGCAACAATATTAAAGAAACCGATAATTATAGTCAAGTCTCAATACCGTCTGACTCCGCTATTCCTACATCTGGATTCTTTAACGATCTTTTGTATATTCCTCCGTCTGAACCACCGTCTCCAAGTATTAATAATTCTTTTCGAAATTATACGTATACTGGTGCTCCACATTCGCAAAACTCTATTAAACGATCGCAGAAAGGAAAGGTGACAAATGGATCCTCACAAAGTGAATCTGCCAATACTCGATCGAATTTAAGAGATGATTCTAATACAAGGTATCGAAATTTTCAATTCAAACTTGTAATGTGTAACCTTTTTCAATATTATAGTAATAATTCTTTAATTTCAAAGCACACAAATAGCTGAAAAACTTGAACCAATCGGACAACAACAGACTCAAAATGACGAAGTTTCGGTTCGAAAATACTGGGAACCCGGAGCTTCCGAACCATTAGCAGAAGAAGAAGAAGAAGAGTATGAGGCAGCTTCCAAAGTATATACAAAAATGACTGTTGTCATCATGTTTTTATTATGCTGATCATAATTGAATTGAATTGATAATTTAGGATGATATTTATGATATTTATGATCGAATTCGCATTAAAGAAGATCGAGTTCGATCGCCGAATCAGCGTAAATTTTATTATTTCTTTGAACATCCGAGTTCTATATATGCGAGAATATTTGCAGTATTTTCGGCCTTATGCGTTTTTGTGATGATGATCATTATTTGTGTGGAATCTTTGCCGGCTATCTATAAAAATGAATGGCGATATTATCGTGAAATATGGTAAGAACTTTCAATTATTCCACGTAATGACAATATTTTAGTTTTACTAGAGAGCAAGTATATAATCTTTTCTGCTGAAATTAATCATTTTATCGAATAGGCTTCCAGTTGATATTGTCGTTGTAATTGTGTTCACTACTGAATTTGCTGGAAGATTGTATGCTTCTGTTGATAGGATTGCATTCATGAAACGTACGTAATCATTTGCTCAATTAATGAGACGAGTCACTAAATAATTGTTATGTTTATTTATTACATAGAACTATGGAATATCATCGATGTTGCTACAATTGTTCCCTTCTATACTGAACTGTTTCTTCCGCTTACTTCTGAGGTACCGTAATCAATCGCCTTTCTTTAATCGTTTTTTATATTGAAAAATAAATTTTTTATCGATTACTTTTTAGTCGGTATTTCGTTACCTTCGGATTTTACGATTATTTAGAATCCTTATAATTTTTCAGTTTACCAGATACACAAATTGTTTCAATGTGAGCAACATCTCAAATTTTTTATTTTCACTTATGCTAAGAGAATAAAACTTTCAACAGCTGACGTTAAAGTTTCCGTTTTTTTGAAAAGATTACCATGCGAGTTTTCAAACGATCCGCAAGTCAAATCGCATTAGTATCAACATGGGTTTTTGTGATAATTCTTACTTCGTCAGCACTTTTATATTATTTGGAGCGGGGTGATTTCAATGATGATGACAATACATGGTACAGAATCGGACTTAGCGGGCAATTAGAAGTGAGTCCCTATCAATCAATAATCCACAGTTTCTGGTGGTCAATCGTTACCATCACGACAACCGGTTACGGTGACGCAGTTCCATTAACAGGCTGGGGAAAAGTCGTGTCGGGAATGACGATGTTATGTGGTATTTTGGTGATTGCTGTTCCGACATCAATTATCGGCTCAAATTTTGTAACTGAGTGGGCGTTGCATCGACGTGTTCAATTCCAGATGAGACTTCGCCGAACTAGAGAAAACGCTTTTGCTGCGAAAAAATTTCACGAAAATAAAAATGAGCGGATGGAGACGCTTCAGAACCAAAATCAGACAATGTTAGAAGCACTCGCTGAAATCCAAGAACGACTTGCTGATATCAATCCACCTCAATACTGGCAAAAATACAAAAAGCTCCAAATCGAGCATGAAAAAGCCAAATTACGAATAGCCGAGCTCGAGGAGAAAGTAGTTATGTTGAAGCGTACTGCCAAGAATCTTGAGAATTTCAATAACTTTGGCCGAACACCCAAGGCAAAGAAAGGCAACTTTGAGACTATACATAAAGACAGTTACTTTCGCGGAACAGAAGAAACAAACGAGGAGTATAACAATTCGACTCAGAATTCCTATAAAAAATGGACTAATTTTAAGCTGCTGAAATTTAAAAAATATCCGACGACCAGTGAAATTGCTTCCACAAAATCCGTTAGTGATAGTGAGATAGATATTGATAAAAATACTGGAATTAGTTTGACGAAAACACCTTTGAAAGTAGTGAAGAAACTTCGTCAGACATTTTTACAGGAAAGAAAAGTCGGTAATTCTTTGCAACAAACACCGCATATTTCTGATAAAGAATGGATAGTAAGTTCTCCTATTGAAGCTTTTCAGAATACAAATCCATTAGCGCAAGATGATAACGTTTCAGACTTGGTACAAAATGACAGCGAATCAACAAACATACAAACGCAATCGGAGCCTCCATCCGACAACGAAGACAATCAGCAAAGTGTCATGACATTCCCTGGAACTGCCAAAGAATTAAAACTTGCAACGTTAGCTGCCGGAAAAGTTCCAGTCCGTCGACGAAAATCGGTGCGCAGACAATTGCATAACTTGACAGGTATGTTCGAAAAGGAATCCAAAAATAAAAACGATTTAGATCCTGGTGATCAAGATTTGGAAAAGGGTTTAGGAGGAATTCGTGCACCTATTGCATCTTGGTCTTTGCCAATATCAATTACGCCAACAAGACTTTCACCGTCACGATTAACACCTAAAGCTCAGGTGAATGACGATAATAATAAATTTTTCAACGAAAATAACATCGAAATCTTTGTGGAGAGAACATCTCCAGGAGAAAAAACTGAGAAAATTCAAAATGACTCGGAGTTTGTTGTCGATTTAGCAGATTCAAAATTACCTCTGTATTTAGAGCCAGAGCTGCCATACTATACTCAAAATGTACAGCAAATTTCTTTTACTGCTCCAATTCCAACTCCGACCGATTCGAGTTTACCAAATAGTGCTATTCATGAAACACCAAATGATTTAACATTGGATGATTTAGAGAACACGCAAATTCTATCAGAAGAAAATTCACAAAAAGAAAGTGAAAGTTCAAATCGAAATTCAAAAAATTTGACGTTTGCAGAACCAATTATAAGAAATGAAAGTCCAATGAGAAAAGAGTAAAAGAAATCATATATTCCTTTATAAATTTTACAGTAATCTTTAGATTTAAATATAGATTGAAGCTATTCAACATTTTCAGTAAATAGTTTGCGAATTAAACATTTCAATGTATTTAATGTTTTTTATTTTCTTCCAAGTTACATTTTCTGTTATGTACAGTCATAAGAACATTCTATAGGAACACAATTTTGAGAACCAAATAATTAATATTTATAATAAAAACAACCTCTATAGGAACTAATTTTTATGGCCCGACCACGTTCTTAGAAAGATGGACATGATAAACACGTAACGATAACGGTACACGTGCCACATAGCGATAGCAATAAATGAAAAACGCACGATTTTTTTTTACAAATGATTTACAGACGGAACAATTTGTTTTTTTCCGGAGGTAGTAATTCTATTTAGTTCGGAGATCTAATACCTTCATTCATTACCGTTGCCTTTCATTCATTACTTCATTTAGAGCAAAAGCAGTAAAGTGATTAGGTTTGCCCCTGCATGATATATAAATTGCTTTTTACAAGTTTTCTTAGCGTTTAAGAAAAAATTACAGTTTACACATGCAAATGATGATGATATTAATCATACAGACATAATTTTTTGCCTTTGGATATACCTTGTCTGAATTCTCAGAAACACTTCTTCAATGACATGAATATTAAAATACGGTAATTCCGAATTCTTTTTATTTGGCCACTTAAGTAATCATTTAATATTAAAAAAAACTGATTTACTTGATATAGAATCAAATACAAACTTTAAGAAAATGCGCCTTTCTATGATTCAAGATGCTTCAAGTAGTCATTTCTTTTTTCCTTACTATGAAATTTAGTTGTGTAAATTATTTATTATCAGATTAAAAAATTCTTTTGGTTATGACCCTGTTAGCACCGAAACATTCAGCAATTGCTGTTCCTGTTATTTTAAATATTAAAGAGAAATTATAGAATTCAGTTTCTTGAATATAGATTCAACGAATTTAAGATATCATGCTATAGAAGATGATGTTTTGGGTATATTAATGTATTTCTATTTTGGTGTGCTTTTGTATTGTTCTTTTTTTGAGTTACGTACATTCAACTCAACAATGAGAGTTTTAAAAATACTACATATAGTTTCCTGATAAAAAAAAAGGGCCGAGATAAAGCATCTGCGCCGAGCTACTGGACTTGGAAAATACGTATAGCACAGCCAAAATCTCCGAGTTACCAAGAACCAAAAAAAAATCATTTGAAGTCATACATATACATATAATGCATAAATCCAGTAAGATCTTCACACTAGCGCGTTCAAAACGATAATGATAACGATAACGATACCATTTCTTTAATCAGATATTTCTATTCATTTTAGCCATTCTATTATATGTGCATATGCACCGATTCATTTTTAACTTTTACAAATAGAAACCATTAGAAGGCACAATATAGCCCGTCAGTTTTTTTTTTTTGATTTGTAATTTGCAAAAACTTTTCGAAGAAACCATATCACAAAGAAAGACCAATTTCCTGTGATGCATGAAAGCGATCTCCTTATTTTCCAAATTCTCTCCGTATTTCCGGAATATATCCTGCAGAAAACAATCAATGCATAGAAACGGTGGATTGAGGAGTTACTAGGCCTTCAATATAACTGATTAAACGTTAAAACCCCTTGTATTCTTTATATCTATCTTCTTATGTATTATTTGTGATATGGAACGCAGTAAAACGAAAAAAATTGCTAATTTTTGTGCTGCATCAATTAATATTCGAATCTGCTTGTTATAAAAACCTCCCTTCTCAAAATTTAGCTTACCGTACGTACTCGAACCCACTTTTGCATGAATATAAAACTATCTTCAAACTTCTCTCTTAATCACTATTTCCAATTTCCAAAGACTGGTTCTTTTAGTGGAATATACCTCTATTTATTTTTTTATCTTTATTCCCATGGCGAATCCCAATTTCTATAATACAGTAGATGTAGACTTTAATCCCTTTAATCCTTTTCATCATCCAATATTAATTCTTTCAACAATAAACCGCGAAGAAGAAATCAAGGTTTGCAAACATGAACTGCCACTGGAGATGTTGCAAGAAAAAGAATTAATTGCTCAAGGCAAAGATATAAGTCGAAAACAAGTCAACTCATCTCTTTTATATAGATGGATTTGTGAAAGGTCTAAAAAGAAAAAACGTGGTGACTGGTTCTGCAACATTCAAAATTGCATTTTGAATACAAAGTCTATGTCACCAGTATTAGCAAAAACTTGGCCAAAGCTCCCCGAGCCCTTCAAAAACATTTTCAGAGAACTTTATGAAAATCTAAAAATAGAACGTTCGAGACCACAGGAGAAATTTATATTTATATTTGATGAACAAAGTTTGCATAATTCACCGAGTATTACCGCGGCCACGAACACAAACAATAATCATGGAGATTTCGCGCCCTCTAATTTAAATGGTTTACAGTTGGGCCCCCATTTATTAAATGGTCAATATAACATCATTGATAATTACAGTAATATTGCAACTATGTATACAAACCAAAATCATAGTAATTTGTCATCCCACTTGGATGGCATGCCCTCTAATTTAAATGATTTACAGCTGGCCTCTAATTTGCAAAATAACAATTGGACCTCTTACGATGATTGTTCGATCCATGAGGACGGTGCACCCTCTAATTTAGATTGGATCATTGATGCTTACAATAATCATGGTTATTTGTTAAATAATTCGGATGGTGCACTCTCTAATTTAGATGAATCGCCCTCTACTTTAGTTGATCCACAGTTGGCCATCAGTTTGCAAAATAGCAATCGGATCTCTTACGATAACTCATCTAATATTACTGACTATAATAATCACGGTGATTCATTGATTGCTCCGGGTGCACCCTCTATTTAAAGGTATTTTTTGGAGATATGATGCATCATCTCTCTAGTTGAAGATAAACTGACGATATATCTTTCATAATTTAATCGAACATCAACAATAATTGATAATTTTAATAATAATCCTTCGCCATCAAAATCAATTTGTTACGAAACAAAAGTTCAAAAATTTAAATTTAGTTAAGCAACGACACCAACACCGTTCAACTAACTCATGATTATAATAATGCTGTTGCTTATCAGCAAACTTCGAAAACGTGTTGGTATAGAGTCGAATGGGAAATGGTCATCCAATGCCACGATAGATAACATATTATTTACAATTATCGCGCTTGAAACGTGACACGCGGAACCTGAGACATAAAACGGAAATACAAACGTTTAGCCTTCAGACAGCGAATAGAGTTACTAAATCCTGTTTATGATAATATCAACAACACCACACCACATATGATATGCCATCGAAAAGATGCAACAAAATTATGGGCCAAGATTTTATAATAACAATTATGGGGAACGTAATGTTCCAATCAGACAAGACTCTTCGAATTCGAGGAAGACTTGGATGATGCGTTCTCTGCAAGATCTTTTCTCTCTTATGCCAATAATAACTTTAACTCGTCAATCTCGTCACCAAAATTAATTTAAAATTAGCAAGTCTCATTCTAAGCAAAAAACTTGCACGATAAATTAAATCATTCCTTGTTAAATCAAAAACTCTCACTTTGACCCGAACACAAAAATCTCATTCATTATCATCATGATATTGCGACTTATCATTTCAAAAAAAATTATTATCTCCGAAACTATTATTCGATCAAGAATACTAACAATATACATAAGCAATATTTTAACCCTTAAAATATTACCAATTATCCATTTATACATAAACACTAAATAGCAATTTACGAAAATTTATCCGGAATCTACATTTCCATTTTAATCTAAAAAATTTTATTGAACCAGAAATTACATAACCGAATCACATGATTTTTATCGATCGAATCGACGAATCAAATTATCACGTGTACGTCAAAATCATGTGATTATTATATAATCACGTGATTATGATTAAAATAATCCAGGTTACAAATTCATTGTTTTTAGTTAGATATATAACTGATTTTTCAAATAATATCAATTGAAAATTATATTAAATTTTAAAATTTAAACTTTTATTTTACTAATTTAATATAATTTTATAAATATAAAATTAAAATATTATAATATAATTAACATTATCAATAGTATAACTTTGTAGAATTGATATAGAATTTATAAAATTTTAATAAATATAAATTGTTTTGGTTTTAAAAAATATATTTTTATTTAAAATAAAAAAATTTAAACTAAAATATTTTTTTCTAATAAAAATTTATAATTCTTGAATAATTAAATATTAATTAAAATAATCAAAAAACTTAATTTTTATATTATATAATCTTTTTTCTTGAATTATTATTTTTTTTTGCAAGCATTATCTTTTTTCTTTTATAGTTATATTTTTTATATTAATCATTTTTTAATAATAATTTTTTTTTGTATATTTTATTTTATTAACTTTTTTTTGTTTTCTTTGTATAATTTTAATAATATTTTATTAATAATAAATTAAAAAAGTAATATAATTTTTTACTTTTTTTTGTAAATAAAACTCAAATTGAATTTTAGTATTAATTTTTGGTTTTTTAATTAATTATAAAAATGAATATAAAAGAAAAAAATAAATAATTCAGTATTTAGATAAATAATTTGAATTATTTTATATATAATTTCTTTATTATATTTAATTTTAACTTATATACTTGTTTTTTTACCAAAGTTATTTAATTAAATATATTAAATAATTTACTAATAATTTAATTTACAATATTTGTTGTCTTTTTTTGAATTAAAAAATTTAACTATTAATTTTTATTATAATTAATATTATAAAATATTAATTACTTAAAGAAAAATTATATATAATTAATTTTGTTGAGTTTTTGAGTCTATTTATATATATATATATTATAAAACTTATTTTAATAATAATTATATTATAAATTATTATTTAAAAGTGAAAATTAAATATAATTTAAAACAAAAATTAAAAATAATTTAAAAATATAAGTAAAATAAATATAAAATTTAAAATTAAAATTTATAACAAAATATTAATATAAAATAAAAAAGAAATTATATTTTTTTAATTAAATAATCTTTTTAAAGATTTAGAATATATAATATTATTTTTGCTAATTGTATTATTTAGATAACTATATTAATTTAATTTATTATAATTAAATTATATAAAAATATTATTATTTTATTTGTTATATTTAAATAAATCAAATAATAATATTTTCATATAATTTTAATTAACAAAATATTAAAAATTTTTTTATTATAATATTCTAATTTATTAAAATAAAAATTATAATTTATATTAAATATATAGTAGCAATCAAAAAGAATGGAACACTAAAAACAAATTTATTAATAAAACATAGTAAAAATATGAAAAATGCAAGTTTTTCTCTTTATATAAAAGTTTTCAATTTTACTAATAAATATTTTTTATTTTTATATTAAAATAAAGATAATA